CAATCAGAACAAATGGGACCTTTTAGATTTACCGAACAACTTAAGCGCAGAGTAAGTAAGAAGTACGCGGGTTAGTAAGAAGTATTGGAACGCTTATTCACAGACAGTGTCCTATTAGACGTTTATAGACAATGGCTTATTTTGAAAACCTGAAATATTGGTTACTTATGTAAGTGAATATGGGCCACCTATGTATAATATGACCAAAAATATACTGCATTCATTGCTTTGACGTTTTAAGTATTTTACAGTATCTTAACCGCAGACCTTCGCAGGACCGTGGTAAAACTTATCCCAACAGATGTTCATTCGGCCTGAGATGGACCGTAACGAATATTTGTAGAGACTTGAAATTTTTATTTGAAACGTAAATGGACCGTTGTAAATTTGATTAAGCATTGATGCTGCGGGGTATTTTCCAATAAACTTTTCCTCATACATTGGTGGCAAATGCGGAAATTATTCATTATTGTGAAAATGCAATAAAATGAGAAGTCCGAATGCATCTAGAAATGTCAGTTATTTTTTTTACAGGAAACGCCATCATGGCCGGCCAGAGCCTGCTACTCAGATGAAATGCGGTTACTTGTAATTCGCTTTAATTGAAATGTTTTGATTTTTTGCTTTTAACTTCAAAAAAAAAAATCCCACGTAACATGGATTCTTCTATCTTGGCAATTGGGCCTTATCTTATGAACGCCCTATACGCGATAAGTTAATTCAAGCGTTTAGCTGTACGGATTGCGAAAAAAAAATTGTCATTAATTAACATAAATTAATAATAGGACACTCACCGTGAATGTCCCAGTATATATCCAAAACGGCTAAAACTGGAGTGACAAAAATTCAAGTTCTGAAGCTTTACCACAGATTTACCACTGTTACGTTACAAGTCATAATTTTGTTATTTTAAATCAAAGACCCCATTTGTTTTTATTGCAATGAGTTGCGCATCTCGAATTTAGTAGGCCCCATATTTTAAATAATTACTGAGCAATACGGCAATACTGCTTTTTTAGCAAAAAGTACTAAAAAACACTAAAAAAACAGTCAAAGTCGGAGCGATAAAATTTTACACCTGGGTATTTTTGAAAGTGAAGTTCAAAAATGTCAACAGCAATGTTATCAAATTTCGTTAAGATATTTTTGATTCTGGAGAACTTTAACTGATACACTTCTGAAGCTTCCTAACCGCGGATGTTAAGAACTTTTTATTAAAAGTGGTATATCCACTTTTATGCGATATTATTAGGAAATTACCAAATCAGGCCAAGAATGTGGTCATTGACATTGTCAGCCAGGTGTCACATAAATATTAAAGTTTTGGTTAGTTAGAGCTGCAAAGCAAATATTCAATAATTCTATTATGTGAAATACCATTATCATCCATACTAAAAAGGAACACCCTTGCTAACCACCCTTGTTATACTCATACTACAAATGGTGTTTTCTATTCCTACTATAAAATATCCGATTATGCACTAAACAAGTGTGCAAAGTGTTACTTTAGGAAGAAAGCTTCGTTCGCCATTCTGGCGTTTACAGCACTTTGGTCAAGGATTTGGGAGCAATCGGATGTGGATTGTAGCCACTATTCTAACGTTTGGTCTTTAAACAATTGGTTTCAACTAATGGTCGTAGATCAAGTATGGTATGCCCCACATTCCTACTCTCAGCAAGCAACTCGTTTATTAAACACTCGATAGGCTTTTGAGCAGTTGGCGCAGAGGATTTTTAAAGCAGAAGAAAGTGGCAACTAGGTCTCTGACTAAATCTACCAAAACGAAATTGATTTTGAATTTAAATCGGAGGAGAAAAGGCAGGAAATTGCAAGTAAGATTTTCGATGATGACCGCCAAAGTACAACGCAAGAAGATGATGAACAGCAAGATAGCAGCATGTGAGAACCAGAAGTTACAATATTATTTTACATCTTCCTGGGGTTATTGGAACAGCAAAGTCTCTTAATGCTGCCAGAAAACTGTATTATTAGGATGTACTTAAATCCAATAATGAAGATTCGAATACAATTTTCCCGCCGACAACCCTGGTAGAGAAATTTCTTGAAGTACCGCGACACTAAATCCATTCTCAATACTTAGGTTTGATGATCAAACCACTAGAAAACCACTAGACTTCATTAATTTTCTATAAGTCTGTGCTAATCAGCAAAATAAATGCTTGTTTGATTTAGAGTAAAGTTCCAATTGCTAGGCATCTACATGGCCTAATATACCTCGAAAATACGTCATAGAAATACTGGTAATAACTAATACACGGACTCTTTATTTCTTAGATAGATATGCATACACAGACGAAGGAAGAGATCGAAATGTTGTCGATAAGGAGTAAAGTTAAAAAAAAACCGTGACGTTACATAAGATAATTGGCTAACATCTTTAGAGGTTGTAATGGAATTGTAGAAGCGAGGTCTAACTTTAGTATACACGGTTAAAAATAAATATTTAGAGTTATTTTAGTGTTTTACGTACCAAAACCATTCGAAGCGGTTCCTTTGATGTCGTCAATGACTAAAATAGTGTTGCGAAAAAGGTGTTCACTTAATATTTTTTACAAAATTTTAGACACTTTATATGTAAACGCTTGTATAAAATATTCATGTGCACCTGGAAATCCTCACCAATCCAGATACGATTTCATCAAGTCTTTGGCACGACAGCTTGTTGTGGATGACATGAAAAGCAGACTACTCTAGACCAGACTGGACTTGTCCAAATTCTAAGACAAATCAGATAAAATATAGCCTCCATTGTGAAGAAAGATGTTCCTCAAAAGCTACCAATAATGCGCTAGAGAAGAGTGCTTATTATATTATATATTATGCATTAGTTGTGGCATGTGGGAATTAGCAAAGATTGCATGTAACTTATAAGAAACAATTTAGTAAATTTTCTCTTTGGAAATTGACAGGTTAAAATAAACCTTTCTTGGTTAAGTTTTAATACAAAAAGTTTTGTTGCTGTTTTACTTTTTCAATAGAAACTATGTTATGGGGCACCCCAACATTTTCGGTTTTTTTTATACCTCTTTGTTTATAGGTTCATGAGTTATGACAAAATAAAAGTGGATTCTTAATAGTTACATTCGACAGAAAATCTGTCGCAAAACAGCAATAATCTTAGAACTTGTTTTAGTATTTGATAACAATTAAAACCCTGCTAAACAGACTGCTTATTAGCTAACCAATTTCAGGAAATTCAGCTTTCTTTGACAGAATTTTGAAATACCCAAGTGCACGACGCTCATCTCTCTACAACTTTAGTACTGCCTTTCTCAGGTCTTTTACTTATGTAGTCTCTTTTTTTTCTCCATCATGATTTACTTTAGGGACACTTTCTATTTGTAACCTACAACCAATTAAATAAAGTACTTTCTCTCAGTACTTCTCATTATAGAATTTGTAGAATCTAAAAACGTTATATGCCCGCTTTTGTTGTTGTTTGCAATTGGAAAGGAATGACCAATTTCAAAAGTTGTTCTTTTATCTGTAGTTATTTTTCAAGAATATCCTAGGAAAATTCCTAGCACAATGTACATTACGGCACCTAATCTTTTACAGTGAACAACAAATTTTTTATAAATAGCAACTATTGTCAAAATATAAAAATTTCTAGTAGAAGTTTTCTTAAACGGACTAATGATACTTAGTTGGACATTTAGAAAGTATTCCTTGTGTATGTTTACTTATATTGTATTTTGAAAATTATTATTATTAAAATTTGATATTTATGTTGTTGCAATAAGAAAAATTGCAAGTCAGCGTGGAAAAACATGACAATGCAAACATGACTATGTCCTTATCATCTAACAAATGTTGCACATATTATGAAAAATTTTAAATAAACGAGATAAATTTTTGATGCTCCAACAATTTAGGTAAATATTATCTCAATATTTTACTAGCAAATTAGAAGTTTGGAATACGCCTTAATAAAGGTATTTAAAATGTTCCGTGGATGTGCATTCACCCACTTCATCAACGTACTTGCAACTTATACTTTCTCTTTTATCTACAGGCGCATGAAATTTTTATTGAATAGATTGCCTCCATGTTAATGGTTTGCGATTTATGACTGTATCATTAAATGTAGAAAAGCTCTTATAAATCGTCGTATATAAGCGAAGGTATCTACAGTTTTGGAAACGCTGTAAAGGATGAAGACTAAAACTTTTACATATTGGCCAAGGATTTTAAATTACACTGAAAATGTGTTTTATACTCAAGATTTTGTCTAGGATAGGAAACAGGAATGTAATGAACTAATATTTTTTGGCATAACATACCTTTTTAAAATAGCGGCACGTTTTTTGCGAAATAAGCAGGAACAATAAGTTTCATAATAATATAATATTTATTTTTAGTTTTAATTGTAAGATTACAAGATAACAATCTCCATTTGAAATTTTTCGTTTATAAGGGAACCTAAATATCCATTTGATGCATCCGTAAATAGAAATAGGAAAGCAGTTCACAAATCTATTTTCGACCAGAAAGTTTCTGTCTCGGTTTCTATATTTTCGGTAACCGCTTTTTTTGCAGACAGCAAATAGTATACTTCGCAACATTCTCCATAAATAGTAAACAAATTTAAATAACCTTCGTGTGTTTAATTTGAGCGTGCCGGCATGTTTATTGACCGTAATTTTCTGACCGTAAGCAGCATCTGTGACACTTGTCGTAGAATATTTTAACAAGACCAGATTCCCACCTATTTCCGTGTAGTCGCAGATTTGCACCACTAAACTGCTTTGTTCTAAATTACTTATAAATAATAGAAATAATAGTAGGCCTATAGCAGCACAACAAGAAATGAATCCGAATTATCACACCAGTCCATAGATAAGGAAAATGGACTTAGTGTTGATATTATAGCCTTACAGTGAACCCGAGCAAGTCTGCGAATATAGTATCTTCCTAAAATCTATTAGATTTTCCGCAGTGTGTTTGATTTTGTAATTAATTAAAAATAATTTTTAAGGTACTTTGGTGGCCATGTCCGACGGTATGACATATGGTTGGACCTCCCCCATGATCCCGTACTTCACCGGCAACTCCACTCACATCAAGATGACCATGTACGAAGCCGAAATGATGGAGACGGTCAACCTTCTGGGAGCCATTTGTGGTTTACCGATAACCACGTACGCTGTAGACAAGATAGGTCGAAAAAAGTCCATGCTTTCTGCGTCATTTGCTGCCCTGTTATGTTGGCTGGCAACGCTGTTCGCTCCAAACAAGGAAGTGCTGTATGTGGCGAGGTTTTTTATCGGCATGGCGGGAGATATGTGTTTCGTAGCGGCTCCGATGTACATAGCCGAAATAGCTGATCATAGAATACGAGGCTTTTTATCCTCACTCATATACATCATGATGTTATTTGGAATCTTGGTGGTGTACACCACGGGCACTTATGCTGCCTATTATGTGCCACCGATAATCGGAATTGTCCTGACCGGAATTCAGTGCATATTCTTTCCGTTTATGCCGGATTCGCCATATTACTTGGTGTACATAAACCGAATAGAAGATGCCGAAAAAGCTCTAAAACGGGTCAGGACCGATGCCAACGTCAGCAAGGAAATTGAGGAAATCCAAAAAGCCGTGGAACGTCAGAAAACCGAGAGAGGAAGACCCCAGGACCTCATCCTGATACCGAGCAACCGAAAAGCGATCATGGTCATGACAATACTCAATGGCGCACAGCATTTTGTCGGAATTAGCGTCATGATAATGAATCTTCACGTGATTCTGGCAGAGGCCGGATCAATTTATATCGAACCCGGAGTGGCGGCCATCACCTTCGCCGCCATAATGTTGATAGGGGCGAGCGTCTCGTCGGTTATCATGGACAGATTCGGTAGGAAATCGTTACTGATCACTTCGAGCATACTTACCGGAATTACTCTGACGATTATGACCGTGTTTTTCCATTTGAAGAATACCGGTTACGACGTGATGTTTGTCAGTTGGATTCCGGCCGCGTGTTGCATGACATACGCTCTGACGTTTAAGTCTGGATTGGGCATAGTACCCATCGTCATAACCGCCGAAATATTCCCGACGACGATCAAGGCAATCGGTATGACGCTGGCAGACGCAGTGTACTGCATAATGGCGGTGATCTCGATACAGATCTACTCGGTACTCTTCGGTGCCTACGGTATTCACGCGCCATTTTACATATTCGCTCTGTGTGCGTTCTTTACCGCGTTCTTCACTGCCTTCTTCATTCCCGAAAACAAGGGCAAAACGTTGGACGAAATTAAGTTGATGTTGAAGGGACACAAAGCGATTCGCGCTGATAATGGTATCGCTATGACCTAGGAGTCAGTGCCGCGCCAGTTGAGACAGCGTTACAATTTCGTTTTAAGAAATGCCATCGTGTTTTCTCTGTGATACGCCCCCTTTGTTTCAGTTGTCAATAAACTCGTTAGAATGGATTTGGTTGTCATGCGATAATACTCAGTGTTAATATTAACGTAGCATTCAGCTTTAAATATTGTCAGAAATACGCCAGTGGAATGTAATCCTTTGCAAAGAAATGATAATGCAAGTACATTATTATTTTTTCGTTTTATCCTCAGCTGCGATTGTGTAGAATTTGTAACTTCAAGGTCTTTATGTTGGGTGTCCCAAGAAGGGCACCGAGGTACTGTGTTAAGGAAACGAACGAGTCAAGAAATTGAGAAAAGGGTTGTGGAATGCTCTATGCGTTAGGCGCTTTCTATTGCTTATCTTGCCACTAACACGAGGCTGGCAAAGAGTATAAAAGTATAATATGCATTAGGTTTATAAATTTGTTGCGCAAACCGGCTGATCTTGATTAAGTGTTTATCATCTGGATCTAGATCTAGATTAAATGAATATCATTGGTATCTTTATACAAAAAAGTCGTATGGAATGTCAGCCTAAAATTAAAAATAGGCAAATTCTAGGCACATTTCTCATTTAGACTTGATGGCTCCGAGAGGTTGCGAAATAAAAATCTATTTTCCTTTATTGTTTTATTTGAGCCCAAGAAACAATAATAACAATACCAATTTCCACATCTTCAATTATTATAAAAATTTTTTCGTCTCCTTCTTGTCATTATTTCTAGAGATTCGATAAGAGCGCAGAAAGAATTTTTCAATTAAGGTTTTGCAAAATAATAACAGCCTTACCAAATAGAAAAATTGTTGTTGTCAAAAGATTAGGTTCAATGTGTGAATTATTAGTATGTTTATCTCAATAATGAAAGCCTTGCCCTGCAAATAGAAAACTAAATAGAAATTATTTCATTTATTTATTTTTTGCTGTATCACTTATTCAAAAATGAAGGAAAGTGCGACAAGTTAGAATGCTAGTTGGCATGCAGTGTGTAAGACCAAGAGAACGCTACATACACCTATATCCACAGCGAGTTTTACCACATGAACAATTTTTTCTACGCTTTTATCGGATCCTTACAAATATGAAACTGTTTTTGCAAAAAAAAAAGAGACGAACAAATTTTATTACAAGCGAAGACGTGGAAATTGGTATTCTTGGATATTTTGAAGCATATCGTGACAATTTTATTGGAGTCAAAGACTCTAAGCTATCCTTTAATACTGTCCAAAGGATTAAAAAAAACACAAATTTTGCCATAATAAAATCCGACCAGCTTAGGTGCTTGTGGCAGGGGATACAGAGATTACACTATTTTTTGTCATTGGTATGTTATGTTTTGCCGCCAAAACATACATAATTTTAGAATCCAAAAAACCATCGTTATTAGTCAAAAGAAAATGTATTGGTAGTGCACCCCCAGTTCCACAAGTTCGTTGCAGCTTCAAACTTTTGACGCGATTTTAATAACTTCCGAGGCAAATAACAATTTTTGACAAAAATTTGAACTCCTTATTCCTTGGCCTCCTAGGTCACCAGATATAATCCCACTTTTTCTACTTTGGGATTATTTAAAGGTAGAAATTTATAAGCAAAGATACCAATACCATGGAGTTTTAAAAGCTGCAATAAGAAAAAAAATAACCGGATGAATGGACAATTCGCTTAATAGAAAAACGTGCTCAAAAGTTTATTCAAGAACGAGTTGCTGCTTCTGAACACCTCTTAAAATAACTTTAATAGTTAATCATAAATTAGGTTTTTTTAGTTTTTTTTTTCTATTTCGCTATTTCCATGTTTCTTACCCTCAAACAAAACAATGAAAGCAAACTTAAAAAAAGCCTAAAAGAGAATTGTACTGATAATTATTTTCAATTTTAGTATAATATTCCATATGACCTTTTTTGTTCTGTTAGAGCAAACAATATATAAGCTGTCCAATTTAAAAAGAGTACATTTTTTCCTAAACTCTACATTCAATTGATTTTCTGTTTTCGTCATCGTAATCAATGGAAAAATGGTTGGTATCTCCACTCATAACAAGGTTACCAATGATGAAGACTTAATTTCGATCATCTAACGGCTATTAAAATAATGTTCCTCGCAGCGCGGAAAAGGCTTGTTGTTGAAGAGTTGTCTTGTGATATGTCTTGCAGTAATATGTATCTTTTCTCTTTCCGCATTACGCGTGCATGCTGTTTTGCATTCTACGAACCATTTCTTCATTAATCAAATGTTCTACCCAAAAGGTTCTCAATATCCAGGGGTAGAGCCACATGCCGAAGGTATTTTAATATTTTTATAGTTGCGAATTTCAAATTTCCTATGAGACGCCCATCTGGTACGGAGTACTTACGAATTACTATATAGATTTATTGAAATTTAAATTTAAGCCATGTCCGATGCTGATTTCTATTACTCTATTCATTAGTAGCTGTAGTTCTTGCGAGCTGCTATAGCATTATCATTCACAAAATTTCCATTTACAACTATATCCAGCATATGAAGCAATTTCTTAAATATATCGTGAGGCTATATATTGAGCAACATATGTGACATTTGATATTGATATTGATCTATTTCCATCGAGGTTTGGATATGCTGGTTGTCTAAAATATATCTCTATCCTCTAATCCTATCTCAGATAAAATTTTTATTAATTTATATGAGCCCTATCAAACGCATTAGAATATGACTTGAGTACTATATAGGCACTAGTTTTCCCTATTATCCTCTATTTTCCCGTTAAAATTAGATTTTTACCAGTAACTCGGTTCCTGATTAATTATGGTATACTTCTTCTTTGCTTTTCCGTAACGTGAGCACATCTACTAAGGACACTCGCCCATCACCGATGTCCGTCGATGTTTTTATTAAGTTCGTCACAGACCAACATGTATACACATACTATAACCAACATTTGTTCTCAGCTTGCCAAAAAAGGACTGTCACCCGCTTCCACCCCGGACTAACCGGGCCCATCCGGCTTTTAACCGGCGTGTATGGCAAAAACAGCAGGACCGGCAATACTTAAATACTTTAAAACATTCACCAAACACTTAAGAAACAGAAACTACACAGATATCAGAGCTTCTTGGGAGGAATACAACGGATTCTGCTGAGCGAGGGGAGGTTAAACCAGCATGTGCAACGCTCCACCAGAGAATGCTGCTCTGAAAACAGATTTAATTTTTATCTAACAAAACGCTACACACCTTTCATGTCGTTGGTTGACACTTCTCTGCCATGTCTACCGAATATACCATATGTGACTACCATTTTAAATAGTCAGTTTAATTAACAACTAGTTAGTCTTCAACAATGATTAATTTTGGTTAGTTCACGAAACTTATTTTTTAATGAATTTTTAATACATAATTGAAAGGCAAGAATATCGGAGAAACGCTGTACTGGGAAATTTTGTGCTCTTCGAAGTAATTAAGAAAATATGTAAATAATTGAATTTATTTCGATTTTACATATTATTTGGGATCCCAAATAAAACATTTCGGTTTCATTTGGTAAATCAGACATTAACAGTAACCTGTAATATCGGAATGCTTACCAAAATTCAGCTTTTTCCCGAGTTTGATGTTCTATTATTTATATTTCAAGTTTAGATAAAGTTACTGAAATACTGAATACTTCCAAGAGTTCAGTGAAGTGCTATTTAAAAAAGTTTCGTCTGACGAAGGCCGTTGCTAAGCATATTAGCTGACATCATTGATCCCTGTCTCACCTGCTCGAATATCAGTTATAAGCAATTGAATTTGGGAGATTATTTCGCTATGAATAAAATCACAAATTCTTGCGCAGTTGTACATACCCAACTTGTTTATCAGCGTGTTTAATCAAATTGGTGAAAGAGATGATGTTGAGAGGAATCAAAGGCATAGAGGGATCTCTTAGTACGATGTCTTTTGCAAAGGCAAATTTCAAAAACAAAATGGGGAAGTATCAATCTCAACAGTACTTAAATTATCTAAAAATGCAAAGTCATGAAACGAATAAAAAAATTTTTTAAACAAATCTTATTTTCAGAAAATAACTATCATAAAAGTTAATTTTTGAGTAAATCAAACAAAGGCCGAAATGGTGTTTTGTAATTCTAAAACTGCATTAGAACTATATGTAACCCAATATACCTTGGTTTTAAAATTCAATTTTAATTTTATTTTTTATTTTCATTTGTGTCAATAATTTATTTGTGTTATTGTAGGTGTGTTCCAGTATTCTCCTTTTGGTTAAAAACTTGGATTTGGATGGGTTATTACTATTTCCATTGACTTATTCTAAAAGATTACATATTAGCAGGGAAAAGTTTAAAATTCAACATGAAAGGGCTTACACTTATACTTACACAATTTAAAATGGCCACATTTATATTCTTCCGTATATTATTGTCCAAATCTTCCACTGATGGAGTCTGCAAGTAAATTAATAGCACTGATCAAAACCTATCTATAGCATTATACTGTGGAGTCAAATTGTATTACCTGCAAGTTCTTCTGAATGCCAAAATCAAACTCGAACTTTATAGAAAATAAACTAATTACAATTTTCACACCTTTTCAAGAGTGACTTGTAACAAAACTTACATGAACCCCTTTTGGTACGCCTTTGGTTTTCAACAATTTTTTTTCAGTTGAGTCAATATCTGTTATATCGTACAAATTTTAAAATAAAAACAAAATTCACTGGCGATATTTCTATAGCAACACATTGTACCAAAAAATGGCAGACTTCACGAGGTGTTGATGTAATGAATATAGACTCCCGATCCTTTCCATATTTTAGAAAAAAATATGTAATGTTTTTGCTGCTTTATCTTCATACCTTGTAGATTGAAATAAGAAAATTCGAAGCTACTGACCAATAGACGCACCACTGGCTGAAAATCGAACAACGGAAAGAAAATGTCAAAGTTCTAGCTAGTCAAAAATTAGGCAAATTCTTGGACGTTCCACTTCATCTGGCGTTTAGTTAATTTTGAAGATTTAGGCCAACTGTCATTTGAATGTCATGTCACCACATAGACTAATTTAATCTATGGTCACCATGAATCGCTCGATTCTCAGGCAAAGCTGGTAGCAAATTTATGAAGATACTTTCAACAGAGAAAGTGAAATAGAAAATCATTATCATCAATTGCAAAAGTAAGTATGATGAAAATGCAAAAAAATTAATTCAAACATGAATTAAAGGTTCAATCAATTGTGTTTAATTTTTAAATAATATTTTTTTAATTAACAATAAAAATATAACCCCAAGACGACTAAATTAGGTGCAAATAATATAATGAAAATTCCCGTGTTAGAAACTAAATACGACCTGCTCTTTTTTTACTTCTTTGTCACTAGAGCCAAGATAAATAATTTCAAATTTAATTGCAAATAACTGCTTAGCTACAACTCCCGATTGTTTTGGAATCCTGGCGCATTCACCATAGAGAGACAACATTTTCCTGGTATAATTTGTATAGGTGATGCAATTTTTCTGTTATTAAAGATAGGGCGATGCAGTTTTCACAATAATGAGCTCAATTTTCATTAAACAAAAAGTTTTTTCAAAACAGTCCCAGCTGCGCTTATTTTTGAAATGAAATGGTG